CTCCACTCCTCAAATCTCCAGGAATTTCCATACCTAAAGCTGGCAACTTTATTTCCTCCCCTCTCAGTAGCCTCTTATTTTGCCTTAAATTGGTTTTGATGCCAGCAGAGTGAGAAAATGCCAGAGGCTCTGGGTGGGTGCCCCATCGTAAATGCACCAAACAATTCCTCAAGATTTTCCAAAACACTACTCTGTTGATAAATTGCAACACTTTGAATTAGCACCAGAGCTTTAAGAGCTCTCCAGCTGTCACCTGGAGACTGGCAACAGCTTGTCTGGAGTGTGGGCAGTATGGTATTGTATCTGTCTGAGGTCCCCCTCTTCCTCCTCCTCAGACCCCACCCTCAGCAGGCTTCATCCCTAAAATATCCTGGAAGTTTCCAACCTGGAGTTGGCAACCCTATGTCCTTTCCAGGCAACCATCAGCCTACCTTTATCTGCCTGTCTGTCTTCAGGTTTACACACACACACCAGCCTCTGCCTATGGAAAGGGCAGTCTTTCCCTGCAGTGGGAACCAAAGCAGCTGACATCATTCTCCTCTCCCCCGTATGATCCGCACAACTACCCTATGAGGTATGTTAAGGTTGAAAGTGTGTGAATGGTCCATAATTCCCCAGGCTGCTTTTAAAACATGAACCTGGGACCTGCACACCATCTGTGGCAGTAATGGGGTGACTGCTGGCACCTTTTCCTATCATTTTTTGCCTTGTGGTATTCTGCTTGTGGTGTGATCTGTCTTCTTTGTGGTGTGGCATGATTGTGTTATTGGGTTTGTTTCTTTTGAAGGGGAAGTGATGTGTTGTGAGTGAGGACATATTTTACCTCAGAATACAGTAGGTTCCATATGCAACTGACAGTTCCAACTGCCTTGCGGGGGGGGGGGAGTTTGAGGTGTGGAATGGAGTGAAGTCCAATCAGCTTCCATATGCAAAAGACCTTGAAACGCTGGGCGGGACTGCACAAAGCAGCCAGTCAACTCAGCCAGTGTCTTCTGACTGACGGTTCTTGCGGCCAAATACTAAAGGTGTGCATTTTGGAACGTTGGAGCCCACTATGCCTTTATATATAAGGGAGAGATATAAAAGAAATGCTTAAGGAGAAGGGAGTTCAAGAGGGGTGAGATTTTCTTAAAAGGGAAATATTGAAGGCACAATCACAAACTATGAGAAGGAAAAATGGGAGGAGCCTAAAGAAGCCAAGTTGGCTCCATAAACAGCTTTGTAAAGATCTGAGGGGGGAGGAAGACTCATTTAGGAAATGAAAGGAAGGTCTTGTAACCAAGGATGAATCCAAACAAATAA